AGTAATGTAGTATAGTAGAATTAGCAATTTTTTTTAAATATTTTTTATTTCTAGCATTCCAAATATGATCCCTTGGTATCGACGCATATCTGCCAACGCAGTTGCCTTCTAGAGGAATTCAGAAGTACGGAAACCAACAAAACCTTCAAAGGGCATTTTGTACTGACTCACGGTTATTAAATTTTTTCACGCTGCACATCCACAGTAACGCTGGTGTTATTTAGTATGAAGCTATGATGAATGACTTTTCTTTAAGGGCAAGTTTTAGCTTAGGAATTGCCTAGTTGTTGATTCAGGGTACCAACACGATGGCCGCTTCTTCTTCTTCTGAGTCGGTAGGTTCATTGCTGAAGGTCGTGTCTAATCTGAAATGTGGACCACTCGATGCTTCCCTACGTCTTCCTGTTCTCAGCGGTCTTTATAGCCTCGGTTATTGGCAGGTCGGTGAGCATCGTAACCAGATCAGGCCAGCGGGTAGGTGAGCGTCCGCGTGGTCTTCTTCCGTCAACCTGATCAACTACCATCAGCTTCTCTAAGTTATCGGGGCCTCTACGAGTGATGTGGCCGAAGTACGTAAGAATACGTTGGAAGCAGATAGCGGACAGCCCTGTGGCCAGCCCTGTGGCCATGACTGCTTACGATTATCAAAGCCATTCGTTTCTACGTCTGCTAAGTAACGCAAAGTATACCTTAACGCGTTTTTCACGTTGGCGATCGTTCAGTTCGTGTGCACTTATCAAGTTTTTTACCTTAATAGTTTGTCGCAAATGAATCAATATTGTTTTGATGCTAACATTGAAAGCTGCTGTTGCTCTCAAGGGTGCTACTTAGCGGTTGATTTATTGTAGTTAGTTAGCTTCCACTAAGCGCCTTTAATTAAATTAAACTAAATTAAATTAATTAAATTAAACACGAGGTTCATTTTTTAGATTTCAATATCCATGTCGGTAGTGTTCAAACTAATAACGAGTCGTGCGTTCGTCTGCAGTGTTCACTGAGCACATGTCATTAATATTGTCAACCGTGTGTGCGGCATTGCAAACGCGACGAAACTTGCATTCCATAATTATTAGAATTTTTATCGTGTACATATTGATACTTTAGTAAAAATTAAAAACACTATGAAATAAACAAATGAATGAGTTTTTTTTATTGCTTAGATGGTTGGACGAGCTCACGGCCCACCTGGTGTTAAGTGGACACCGGGGCCTAAGAACTCGACAATGTTAATACCGCCACCCACCTTGAAACTTGAGTTCTAAGTTTCATTTAAGTTAAAGTGGTTATATAATATTTTATAATACACTAGCAACCCGCCCTCGCTTCGCTTCGGAAACATTAAATTTTATTATTGACTAGCTGAGTCCCGCGATGTTACCCGCGGTTATTGTCGTACCACGGGTGATGCCGAAGGCGAAGCTAATCTAACAAAAGTATCCTAAGTTACTTCTTATATCATCAGCTACCTATCAGTGAAAGTCTCGTCAAAATCGGTCCAGCCGTTCCAGAGATTAGCCGGAACAAACAGACAGACAGACAGACAAAAATTGTAAAAAATGTTATTTGGGTGTATGTACCGTATATACCTATATATTCATATGCATGTAGTAAAAAGCGGTTATTTCAATATTACAAACAGACACTCCAATTTTATTTATATGTATAGATGTGCAAGTTGTTAATTATGGGATTCTATTTTCATAGCAAACACTATTTCAATAGTAGGTACATAGAAACCGTTACACACAATAAAGTACCGTCTACCAACTTCATTTACAACTCTACACAGACATCCAGCGTTTCGGACAATGAACTAACAAACTTTGGGAACATTTAAAATCGGTTTTGTTTATTGTATCAGCCCGTAGGTCTCGGAGCAATTAAAACTTGGTCTGTAATTAAACGAGACATGAATTTCGCTACTATTGAGGGTCCTTACTGAGTGAAGGTGGTTCACAACAATATTTTAGTTGGAATCGAGGAGTAGGTGACCTTAGGGGCTACATTGAGTTGATATGAATTCTAAGTTTCCAGAGGTCTTTTTTGCCACGTACCATCCGGCTATAGAATGAACTCCCCTCCACGGTGCTTCCCGAGCGCTATGACATGTCCTTCTTTAAAAGAGGCTTGTGGAGAGTATTAAGCGGTACGCAGCGACTTGGCTCTGCCCCTGGTATTGCTGAAGTCCATGGGCGACGGTAACCACTCACCATCAGGTGGGCCGTATGGTCGTCCGCCTACAAGGGCAATAAAAAAAAAGTGTCAACAAAATCTCAGATGGCTTCAAGGCCGTAATAGAGATACTATGGAGTCTGCTCATGTCACGGTTGGAAAGTGATATTGAATTACTCCGTAAGGACCTCGCGTTTATGGGCTATGTATGTAGTATTAAAAACCCTCTACCAAACATGTTATATCTGTTCCATACCCAATAAACTCAAGATATTATGGAAAGTGGTAGACAGAGTTTGGTTTGCTTTAGCCTAACAGCGGGAAGCTTAATTGAGTTCAGATGCATTTATTTCTATTTCAATATTACACTTTTTTAACACAGACGTTAGCAAAATACAACATTACTTTAATATCGACCAATACACATTTAGTTGCTTCCTATTACGGACACGAAGTAACGGAAAATTACCTAATAATATCTTTGATTGCTTCCGAGAGTCACGCGGAATTCCGTTGATTCCGTTTAGTCTTGTAAAATAACAGCCGAATTCGTTTCATGCCAAAAAAGTTAAATATAAAAAGCGTTTTCGAGACCACTTTGTTGTTGATAAATTTTCCACCGTTTTCCTGTCGGAAAATTTCCGGATATTATATGTATAGATACAAATTAACTGGTGATACCCCCAGTATCTGTATAGTTTAGCTGCAAAGCAGCCATGTGTTCGAATTTCAAAAATATAATAATGCTGTTAAAAAGCTACAAAACTTAAAGCTCGCGTATCACGGTAGGTGGCGTCATCCACTTTGTCTGTCATATCTAAAGGCTCTGCTATCAGAGTCTATAGTACGAACTCATAGTTGCACGTCACAATGTTTTCAGCTTTTATATGATTGAGCCTGGAGTTTCATAATTACAGATAATTATATCTCGAGGTGAGGTGATTAATATCTTAGAGAACAAGTTCATACTCCACCTATGTTAAGTGGTTACTGGAGCCTATAATTACCACCATGAATGCTGTCATCTAGATGGACTTTATGCCAGTAATTTTTTTAAGAAACCTGTTTGCGATGCCTGCAGCTTAAAAGACTATTTTGGTTAAATAGTTGCTCAGCGGTGATGCTTCATGGTAAGAATAGGCAGGATGATGGTATCCATGCCGCCTAGTATAATGTTGTTCCTTCCTCTTTACGTAAGTTAAGAAAAATTGTTAAGCAAGGCATTTTCGGATTGTCTGATACGAGTATACTGGACGTCAAGGTGGGTGGCGCATTTACGTTGTAGATGTATATGGGCTCCAGTAACCACTTAACACCAGGTGGGCTGTGAGCTCGTCCACCCATCTAAGCAATAAAAACAAAAAAAAAACGTCTGAGCTCTTAAGCCACAACGACTTCATCTTCATGATATGAGGATTCCAGGTATTATTTGTCCAGAATTTTATTCTCTGCAAGTTTCGATATTCCTTTAAGCTTCAGATTCTCAATAACTTTTAGATATCCTAAACACTGAAAATACGTTGCAAACACTTTACTCTACATTTCAGAAGCAACAATTTTACACCATCAAGTGCGAATACAAAAAATAATACACTGTAATAAGTCGCGTAAACTGGCGCCAAAAGTGGTATAATATATGAATATAAGCAAAAACGCTTTGAGAGGCCGCACGTTTGATGTTCGAGTGAAACCGCGTACGGAAAAAATTCCCTCGACATCTAACTTTGCCTACGCAACTTCGGAATTATATGTGAAGCATTCGGTTCAAACGGTTTCATTAAAATTTTATATTAGAGAAGCAGGCACGGAATAAGGTAGCGCTGTGGTACTGTCGAACGCGAGCTCAGACTTACGATTGGTTTTTGTGATTGAAAATGCTACTCAATAAAATCCAATTTATTAATAATAATTGCGAACGTTAACAGCTTGTAAGCCATTAGATAAAAACTGGGCACAGTTTCAATACAAAGTGCACAACCATATCGCAGCCTACATAACCACTCACCATCAGGTGGGCCGTATGCTCGTCTATCTACAAGGGCAATAAAAAAAAAACATTGAAGCTAAATTACTCTTTGTATCTGATTTAAATAAAGACATCTTAAATCGCCTGGGGATTAAATACTAATGGAAAAAGTACTCGCCTCTCAGACAGCTTTAATGTTTTTATAATATAATGATTCGTTAATGATATATAATATGCATTTAAGCACCCTGTTGCAGAGTTCGTTCAAACACGAGGCGTGTGCAAGTATATAAGAAATATTATTGTGTCACTTGAACCTGTGATGTTTTATTATATAAATTTAATTAACAGGGAACGGATTACGGCTTCGTGACATTTGAATTAATATTACAATTCATCAAAACATTACTCATTAAAAAAAAAAATTAAATCCCATTTCAGTTTAATTCTTTACAATTCTTGTTTTTTACAGAGCACAAATAAACACCAACTCACTACAAACACTAGTATAAAAATAACTTGGTAACGGTAAATTAAGTTAAAGCACATTTATCTAACTCGTGAAGCCTTCAGATTTACGATTCGGGCATAAATTGCTGTTAATGCGTCATCAAAGGGCCGATAAAGAGAGATAACTAATAAAAAGACCTAGCACTTAAGGGTGAGAAGGCTCTATTGAAGCTCACTGACTGAGAATGGTTTTCTTTTCTGATGTGATTTTTTTTGTGGACCGAATTGCAGCGGGGTATGTGAAGGGGGGACGAGGGGAGGGGGACGGCCGGGCTCAGGCTTGCGCACCCGGCAGTAGCCACTCGGCTTTGGAACTGAGCCGACCTTTACGTCACAGTTTTTCCGACCCGGTCACACGTTGGGCGCCATCAGTTAATCACGATATAACGGTTGTTTCAATCGTACGATGAATGTAAATGATAAACTGTGAACCGAGTGACGTGAAAGAAGCAGATTATTTTTTTAAATTGTGCCGTGTTTTTTTTAATTTAAAGCAAATCGATTAAAAAACAAATTAGTGATTACGAAACTAGTGTTGAAAAAACATAAAATAAATTGTGTAGTGGTTTTTATTGTGGTTCCAAGGCAACATTGAAAGCAGTTAATAAACTTCATGTAAGTAATATGTATATAAGCATACTATCCACATCCTAACTTAATCAGATGATTGATAGGTCATAATATAAAATTCGTGTACGTACGCGATTTAATAGTTATTTATGTACGGATGTGATCAAGTAAGTTAGATAAATTACAACATTATTTTATACTTATTCTTATTAAAATTAACTATGTCCTTTAAGTTTTACAGTAGGTTTAAATAATTTTCCTTATTTTTTACGCTTAAATATCGTTCATTGTATTTGATTGAAAAAGAAAAAGTAAGGAAAGTATGGAAAGGGAAAACTTGTGAACAAATTAGACAGCGAAGTAGAGTCGAGTGTCTCTTGAGAGGAAAGCATTATTTGGTTTCCAAGTTAACAAACTTTTTTTTTTATATTCCCGATGGAATCAATTAGTTAAGGATTACTTTGTGAACAAAGAGATTCGTATTTCTTGGGTTCGTTAGCGTCGGTTTCAGGGAGTGATTTATAGAGAACAGTCAAAATTTTCCTGTATAATCATTTTACAATTTACTTTTAACTAAAAAAAAAAACTTATCGTTCAAATTTTGCATTACATAAGTACATTAATTCTTAAAGTTTTAATTAATTTTATTGCTTTTGATCGATGCTAACGGAGGTCATTATGGCACGGCGTAGGTGGATGGATGCTTAACCCATCTCGTACTAAGTGGTTACTGAAGTCTATACATGTGGCGTGAAAGACACCGCTAACCCTTATCTTGTGTCTGCTTAAGAGGTGGATAAAAAGATTTTTCTATTATTTTTGCACTATACCAGGGCAATTTTTTGTCTATACGATCTCATGTCTTAGATGTGAGACGGCATTGACGTTGTGAGTTCTATTCAATCTGGTGACCGTCTAAGCTCTACCATGCAAACTTACCTACCGTTTTAATGCATAAACTGTTAAGTTTTTGGTGCTTTTTACAAGGTCATTGGAGAACTGTTTGTTAACACTTGAAAATTCGTTGCAATTCAATTCATTAACAGTTAAAAGATAATATGTCAATTATAAAGTTATTATATTTGCGGGTATTGAAGGCGAACACGATGACGCTCGTTTGTGTATGAAATTTGATTTGACGAAACTTCATTTTGAAATTGCAGTAGTTGTGTGCAGAAAAAAAAATTAATGAAGTATTTCCACTCAGACATTGCAGGTGATAAGTTATTGGATATTATCGTTCTTGTACTCAGCAGGTCTTATATCTCAATAGTCGGCCCGACTCGGTATAAGTTTTCAGTAAGTAAATTGTATGAGCCGCTGATTAATTAAAGTTCCCTACTCTATAGATAGTGTTCTGTTTTGTCGATTCCAGAATGAAAACCTTCAGCTATAAGATTATTATTAATATTTTTAATCTATGTATTATTGGAACGAATCTCCTGATGGGACGATGCGGAGGGGTACCCTAACCGGGAAAAAACGTCCGTAGCGTAAGATTTTTATTAGTAATGTACACAGCGTATGGCTTAGCTTTGTAATAACGTACAAAAAATAACATATTTTTTATCATTCATTGAACCACGATTTTAGAGCATTCGTAAGATCCGTAGTAAGATTTACAACATTTACATCGTGAGTTGGTTTAATTGAATTATTGAACCACAGTCGTCTAAAATCAGAATCATTAAATTAATTTTATAAACACTACATTAAGGTTGTCGCTTAATTAATTACTAAGTTGGATTTCAATCATTTGGATCTATGATTTATTTTCTGATGTTTGCCTTATGGCATTTAACTATACTTGAGACCTTAGAACTTATATCTCAAGGTGAGTAGCGCATTCACGTTATAGATGTTTATGGGCTCCAGTAACTACTTAGCACCAGGTGGGCTGTGAGCTCGTCCACGCAACCAAGCAATAAAAAAAACACAAACAGCGCGGGTGCCACCGATTATTTTAATTTTTTTACTTTCCTAACAGCGTATAAGTCACATCTCCATAGATGTTATTCTTATCTATTTTTTATGTAAGTAAACTTGTCGGACACTACTGTGCTGCAAACCTTTGTTTAGGAATTTAGAGATTAACACAAATATATACCTACATTACAAATATTTAACCAAAACATTTTGAAATTTGAACTTTACCAAATGCTTTTATTAAAAGCCTTGTTTAATGATCTGCATTATGTTTTGATAGAATTGCCATTACTGTAATACTATTATGTGGTTGTAGTTTGTAATTTAATCTATTAGAACTATAGTGGTTATTTTAGGAAGGGAAATAGAGATCATGAATAATTAGGGGCAGTGGTCATTATTGGTTAATTACAAAATGTATACTATAATAACATTTTGGACACATAATCTGTTGTGATACTGATAATTGCAACTAGTGCATCTACCATATTTTTTGTAATGTACTTTCTAATTCTTGTCTGGATGAGAGTGATGGTGCGGTGTGTTGTGACTTTGAAGCCTGTACAAGTATGTATTTCTTGGCTAATTATCTCACGCGTTGCTGATTCTATGCAATTGAGACTTCCTTCCTGTCTAAAGATGTATGGCACTATTACGTTTTAATGATTTTCGTTGATCTGCTGAGACCAGGATACCTCTCAATGTCTTTGCTGTTTCAGATTTTTTATGATGAAGAAGAGGAACATAACAAAGAAAAAAATTTATTTATTTATTTTTTATTTCGTAGGAAGTTGGACTATCCACGACCCACCTATTGTGAAGTGGTTACCGGAGCCCATAGACATCTACAACGTAATTGCCGCCACTTACCTTGAGATATGAGTTTTAAGATCTCAGTTTTTACAGTACAACCGCTGCCCCATCCTTCAAACTGAAACGCATTGCTGCTTTACGGCAGAAGTAGACAAGGTGGTGTTACCTACACGTGCGGACTCACAAGACGTTCTATGATCAATAAAAATAAAATAATTTGAAAAGTGCTGAATATGTTATTCTTTCGCGATGTTCACACAATGTTTTTCGTTGAATGTATCTACAAAGAGCTTACACAATACAATTACCCATAAGTTCAGTGGGCTGAGGAAAGCCAACCGTGCTCCGTCGGACGAGGATGAAGGCAAATAGGTATAACCGCTAACTTAAGCAAGACCCTTCTCAATGGGATCTCTAGGTACGTTTGACGTTTTTGTAATTGAAGGATTGTATAAGATGAAGTGGATCCGCGAATTTCTGTGTTCTATAATACAACGGTTATGGTGATAAAGCTTTCATGCTAATTAAAATATTCGGGAGTTAAATCAATTTATGATTTATTCGAAATTAAACTCTAAGGCCTAACTACTAAGCGTGCTCTTTATTGCCACTTGTATGATGATGGGGTGGCATAGACATCTATAATGCCGCACTACTGTGATACTTTAAAAAAGACGTGAAAGCCAAAGACAAATGGTGGAAAAAACTAGGTAGAGCCATTTTTTTATTTTTTTTATTGCTTAGATGGGTTGACGATCTCACAGCCCACCTGGTGTTAAGTGGTTACTGGAGCCCATAGACATCTACAACGTAAATGCGCCACCCATCTTGAGATATAAGTTCTAATGTCAAGTATAGTTACAACGGCTGCCCCGCCCTTCAAACCGAAACGCATTACTGCTTCACGGCAGAAATAAACAGGGTGGTGGTACCTACCCGCGCGGACTCTCAAGAGGTCCACCAGTACAAAAGCCACCTATGAAAGGGGAAGTTAGATTCACAGATAGCACGAGATAATATGCACTTATCGATAAGAGAGGTCTATGTCCAGCAGTGGGCAGATAAAGGCTGATGATGATGATAAGAGAGTAGATAAAAGCGCAAATAAACAGAAAAAGTAGATTCGAGAAACAGCACGGCCTAAGTTTATTTTAATTAACCGTTCTTGTAGGTACATAATATCTTTGATATTTAAATCAGGTTTCCTATTAATTTACCTTGTTTAAATTTACAGTCAGATCGAATATGCGCCTCGTAAGAACATAATGAAACGGCAAGTCTGCTTGTGTGCTGCTAATAGGGAACTTGATAGCATTGATTCTAAAGTCTGCACTAGAGTACTGGAATAACTATTCTAGACCAATGTTCGCTTTGGAAAGTATTTAGTTGATAACCATTTCTGAAATGAATTGGACGGTACACCATTGTGTAGTTTTCAGAAATATTATGTATTATATTTACCTATGAAGTTGCCGTTTTACAATACTGGGCATTTGAAACCTAATTTATATCCGGCTGGCAATAAACTCAAATGAACTTTATTTATTACACCGACGAGCTGCCACAGATTAGTGTGGAGATCGGGATGGCTCTTGAAAATCTTAAAAACGGAAAAGCCCCGGGGGAGGATGGTGTTACTTCTGAGCTCTTGAAAGCAGGAGGTCTTCCTGTTATTAGGGAGCTCCAGAAGTTTTTTAACACTGTCCTCTTTGCCGGTAGAACTCCAAAGGCGTGAATCAGTAGCATAGTTGTCCTTTTAAGGAAAGGAGATAAAGCAGATAAAACACTTTTAAAGAATTATTCCAGCTCACTCCTGAGGAGTCACGCTCCTGAGTCCAGCTTACTCCTGAGTCCAGCTCACTCCTGAGTCACGTCTACAAATTTTTTTCAAGAGTCATAACGAATCGTCTTACTCAGAGACTTGACCACTTCCAGCTTCCGGAGCAGGCAGGATTTCAAAGAGGATTTGATACCGTGGACCTCATTCACACAGTTCGGCAGATTATACAGAAGACTGAAGAGTATAATCTGCCACTATGTCTGGCGTTTGTGGACTATGAGAAAGCCTTTGACTCGATCAAGACCTGGGCTGTTCTAGAATCTTTGCAGGGGTGTCAAGCTGACTGGCGATACATCGATACACTAAGATGCCTATACGCTGTCTCTACAATGAGCGTCCAAGAATAGAAAGACCAAACGAGACCAATCCAGTTGCAGAGAAGTGTAAGACGGGAGATATTATATCCCCGAAACTGTTTACAAACGCACTGGAGACGTCTCCAAGACTCTGGACTGGAACGGACGTG